GCTCTAACTCTATTTGAAACCCCTGACCTAATCCCATTTGTTCCTCTCCATTGAAACTCTCCCACCCCCTTCAGCTTTGTTTCACTTAAAGCCAGGACATACAGGTTCTTCTCATTCATAAGATCCACAATCATCTCTTTCTTATCATTCGCACAACATCCACGCACATTCAGACTTCCCACTTTGACAATTTTCTTCTTCTTATTCTTTTTAGCAATTTTTACAGGAAAAGGGGTTACTAGCCCATTGTTCCCGGCATTTTAGTTGACTTTTACAACACGCATGGCTTACGGAGGAAAGATTCTTATTGCACTTCCCCATGGATATAAAAGGAAAAGTAATAAGACCAAGAACTATTAAGATAAAATCAAAGAAAACTCAGATGAGTGTGTATAAATAAATGTGTACATGTATGTGTACATGTATGTGGTCCGAGGACATACGGAGGTGTGGAAACTTTCAGGCTAATTTCATTCTCATCCCTGTTTGGTGTACTAGCCAAAGAGCAGTATATATTGATCAATGTTATTGATCAATACCACTCGTTTCTGGTTACAATAATATATAAATACTGCTCGTAGGCTAGTACACCAAACAGAGATGAGAAGGAAATTGGCTTCAAAGATCTCACACCTCCGTATGTCCTTGTGCTTGGTTCTTGTAGGATTGGGTGGTCCTGCGGGTTAAGGCGTCAGGTGGTTCTCGCTCACAGTGGAGGGCCAGTACAACATGGGTTTGTATCCTTGGCTAGTGCAGTGTTGTTATTGGATATATATATATATATATATATATATATATATATATATATATATATATATATATATATAATATATATATATATATATATATATATAATATATATATATATATATATGCAAAACAACCACTCTGAAAGAATAGAGAAATTCCAAGCGCTTTCGTGACTACTCACATTATCAAGGAACTATGAAAGTGAAGCATCCAAGGAAGCTATATAAGGGGTCGGCCAGCACCTCTATCAGATCCCACAACGGTTAAACACGTGACGCGCGGCGAGCCAACTTGGATAGGTCCTTTGCAAAACTCACCCCCAAGCTATTTATTTGTCCAGTGTATTATTAAATTCTACCCAAATTCTATTAATTATAAATGGATCTAATTTATATAAACCAAAGGAAATATTCATATTATTGTCAAAACTGCTTTTTATGAAACAAGATTCAATTATATTCCTGTCGACCATGGACTTGCTTGATACTACTTTCTCAACTTTTTGAAAATCAATTGGATGGTTAAAATCTCTTACATGAATAAATAGAGCATTGGAATCTTGCCCAGTTCTAATGCTGTATTTATGTTGTTTTAATCTTAGTTCGAGATTTTTACCAGTTTGACCGTAATAAACTTTATCGCAAATTTTACAAGGAATCTTATAGACACATCCATCAGCATTTTGGGGGGAATTCTTTATCAAAAGTTTTTTACTGTATCAAGATTTTTGAATACAACTTTAATATTAAAAGTCTTAAGAAGAGAAGGCATATCAACCAAGTTTTCATGGTAAGGGAGAACCAACATATTTTTAGTTGAATAAGGCTGGTTGCCCTTTTTTGGATTATAAAAAGTGTTCCTAGCAACTTTAAAAGATTTATCAATTACATTTCTTGGGTATTTTAAATCATTACCTATTTCATAAATTTTGGATATTTCCTCATCTATGAACTCAGGACTACAAATTCGTAAAGCTCTCAAAAACATTGATGAGAAAACAGACAGTTTGACTCTATCTTGATGCGAGGAATAATAGTGGACATAGGAACAGTTATTTGTAGGTTTTCTGTAAATTTTAAATTTGAATACATTCATTATTATTCATTATTATCTTTCAGAGTGGTTGTTTTGCATATTTTGAAATCACCTGTTTACTGTGATCTTATTGCATATATATATATATATATATATATATATATATATATATATATATATATATATATATATATATATATATATATATATATATATATATATATATATATATATATATATATATATATATATATATATATATATATATATATATACATATATATATATATATATATATATATATATATATATATATATAATATATATATATATATATATATATATATATATATATACTAAGTCAGGTATTATTTATTTAAAAGGTACAGACATAGCTCTCCTCCAGCTCCTCTGAAGCTGGATGCGAGCCCAGTATAAAACAAGCATTTTCCTCTCTGGATGGCCACACCGAGGCGCTGGAACATGAAAGTGGCCGCCCTTGGGTCCCTGGTGCTGTCAATGAGTCTGTATACCTGGAGTATACCTGGAGAGGGTTTCGGGGGTCAACGCCCCCGCGGATCGGTCTGAGATCAGGCCTCGTGGTTGATCAGGATCTGATCAACCAGGCTATTACTGGTGGCCGCACGCAATCCGACGTACAAACCACAGCCCGGTTGGTTAGGTACTGACTGTAGGTGCCTGTCACGTGCCTTCTTGAAGACAGCCAGGAGTCTATTGGTAATCCCCCTTATGCATGCTCGGTCTGGAATCCAATTCTTTGAGGAAACGCGTGGTGTTCTTTTCCCATGATTCCAGGATCTCTGATTTCACTGGGATAAATTGATACTGATGGGATATGTCTCTGTACTTGCTGATCTTGCATGCTTCCCAGTGATCTGCAGTACCTCACTGTTGTCCAACACTGTAATAAGAACATAAGAACATAAGAAAGAAGGAACACTGCAACAGGCTTACTGACCCATGCGGAGCAGGTCCATGTCACCCCATCCCCCCCCGGATTAGACCAATGACCCACACCCCGGATTATCCCAATGACCCACCCAGTCTGGTCATCCCCACTCAAGGATGGAGCACTGTACCAGACCCAGCAGCACAAGCTAGTCAGGTCCAACTCACACCCACCCACACCCCCTCATGTATTTATCTAACCTATTTTTAAAACTACACAACGTTTTAGCCTCTATAACTGTACTCGGGAGTTTGTTCCACTCATCCACAACTCTATTACCAAACCAGTGGTTTCCTATATCCTTCCTGAATCTGAATTTTTCCAACTTGAAACCATTGCTGCGAGTCCTGTCTTGGCTGGAAATTTTCAGCACACTATTTACATCCCCTTTATTTATTGCTGTTTTCCATTTATACACCTCGATCATATCCCCCCTATTTCTACGCCTTTCGAGAGAGTGCAGATTCAGGGTCTTCAGTCTATCCTAATAGGGAAGATTTCTGATACATGGGATCATCTTTGTCATCCTCCTTTGTACGTTTTCCAGAGCATTTATATCCATTCTGTAATACGGTGACCAGAACTGAGCAGCATAGTCTAAATGAGGCCTAACCAAGGATATATAAAGTTGAAGAACAACCTGAGGACTTCTATTATTTATACTTCTAGATATGAAGCCAAGAATTCTGTTAGCTTTATTGCGAACACTAATGCATTGTTGTCTTGGTTTTAGGTTACTGCTACCAGAACTTCTAAATCCTTTTCGCAATCGGTAGTATTAAGATCTACATTATTTAGTTTATATGTGGCATGGTTATTTAACTGTCCAACATTTAGAACTTTGCATTTGTCAATATTAAACTGCATCTGCCACTTCTCCGACCATTGCGTCAGTCTATTCAAATCATCCTGGAGTGCTTTAATGTCCTCATTAGAATGAATTGGACGGCCTATTTTGGTGTCATCAACAAATTTGCTTATGTCGCTATTTATTCCCTCATCTATGTCGTTTATGTAAATTGTGAACAACAACGGGCCCAACACTGACCCCTGAGGAACACCGCTTGCGACGTGCCCCCATTCTGATTTCTCCCTATTTATGCAAACTCTCTGCTGTCTATTTGTCAGCCATGCCTCTACCCAGGAAAAAATTTCTCCTTCTATTCCGTGTGCCCTAAGTTTCCTCAATAGTCTCCGGTGTGGAACTCTATCGAAAGCCTTACTGAAGTCCATATACACAATATCACATTCATTACCAAGATCTACCTCCTCAAACACCTTAGTGAAAAAAGTTAGTAAATTCGTAAGACAGGAACGCCCCTTTGTAAAACCGTGTTGAGAATCCTTAATCAATCTGTTCCTGTCAAGATGGCTACGAATTGCTTCGGCAATTATTGATTCCATAAATTTTCCCACTATGGAGATAAGGTAATGCATGTAGGTGTCAGCCAGTGTCGACACGCAAGTATAATCCAAGGCTAAAACCTTGCCATTCTTCCAAGGATTGATGGTGATCCCGCTGGGGCAACTTGTAAGATTGTGGATATTGTTGAATGCTAAGGGCCAGGGTTCTGTCTCAGCTGGGCACCCAGCTGAAGGAAAGCTCCTCTTTTTGATGTAGCTGACTTCATTGTGTCTCACGTGCTAACCCTTGGTTTTGTTTTACCACGAATATGGTTTCACAGTTTAGACAGTAACCATATTGGTTGGTTTGTGGATTGCCGCAAATACACTTACATTCTGTGTGAATTGGGCAGTGAGGCGGAGAGCCATTACAATATGGAAGGTATGTGGGTAGAGGCATGTTCCCATTGCCGATATGGGAACTATTTGGAGGAAGTCCCCAGAGTGCAGTGTGCTCACAGCTTGAAGGCAAGGAATCTCCCTGTTGGATGTTTTGACACTGGAACAGCAAGAGTCTTTAACTCGATAATGGCCCTGGGCAGCTTGGATTCTGTATTCCTGCTAGGTCACCAAGGTTGTCTGGAAGCATTTGCTTTATTTGTCCGATGCAATGGAATAGGATAAGAAAGCTAGTAGCACAATCTGGGAAGATTTACGTACTCCCAGCCCCCAAGCCTGATTAGAAATGAGCCTTACATCCACTGTCCATCTTCAAAGGAAAGGTTCAGTGCACTTTCTAGCCTGGTCTTTAGCAGGGAGTGATATTCCTGGAGTTTCGGACTTCTCAGTTCAGATTGGGGAGCATCCAAGGAATTAGGTCAGTTCTGGGAGTGACAGGCACCTGGTGAGTAGGTAGAAGGCATCATGTGTATCAGTGTCTTTCATTCTACCTGCCATCATCTTGAGCTCTGAGATTTTTTTTCTAGAATCAAATCAATAACATTGAGCCTGAGAGGAGCACCAAGGAGAGTGCTGTTGGTTGGATCAATGACTCGTGGTCTTGGCAAAACAACACAAAAATATCCTCAGTGATCCGTCGGTTGCAAGAAACTGTTTCCCACCAATAGCAACATCCGTGCACACAATGGATGTCTAGGTTTCCGGAAGCTTCAACTGCGAACAACCAACAGCCCCTCCTACGAGACAGAGCTGACCTAAAATCTGCAGTTAAATTAGCATCCACCGGGACGCTGACACACATCCACAAGTCAGCTCACCCTCAAGCTGCTAGCAAATTTGCTGACCTCTTTAAGAAAGTCGACGATGCCCAGGCAAACACATCGGCTAATTCCCACCAAGGCAGGGTGGCCCACCAAGGCAGGGTGGCCCACCAAGGCAGGGTGGTCCACCAAGGCAGGGTGGCCCACCAAGGCAGGGTGGTCCACCAAGGCAGGGTGGTCCACCAAGGCAGGGTGGCCCACCAAGGCAGGGTGGCCCACCAAGGCAGGGTGGCCCACCAAGGCAGGGTGGTCCACCAAGGCAGGGTGGCCCACCAAGGCAGGGTGGCCCACCAAGGCAGGGTGGCCCACCAAGGCAGGGTGGTCCTCCAAGGCAGGGTGGCCCACCAAGGCAGGGTGGCCCGAAAAAGAAAAACATTCACCATCATTCACTCCATCACTGTCTTGCCAGAAGGATGCTTTACACTACAGTTATAAAACTGCAACATTAACACCCCTCCTTCAGAGTGCAGGCACTGTACTTCCCATCTCCAGGACTCAAGTCCGGCCTACCGGTTTCCCTGAACCCCTTCATAAATGTTACTTAGCTCAAACTCCAACAGTACGTCAAGTATTAAAAACCATTTGTCTTCATTCACTACTATCAAATACGCTCACGCATGCTTGCTGGAAGTCCAAGCCCCTCGCACACAAAACCTCCTTTACCCCCTCGCTCCAACCTTTCCTAGGCCGACCCCCTACCCCACCTTCCCTTCACTATATATATTATATATATATATTATATATATTATTATAAATATATATATATATATATATATATATATATATATATATATATATATATATATGTCGTGCCGAATAGGCAGAACTTGCGATCTTGGCTTAAATAGCAACGCTCATCTTGCCATATAGGACAAGTGAAAATTTGTGTATGCAATAATTTCGCCAAAATCATTCTGAACCTAACGAAAAAAATATATTTCACTGTGTTTGTTTAGTATTAAATTATTGTTAACAAATCTAAAATATATTTAGTTGGGTTAGGCTAAAATAAATTGTTCTTGTTATAATAAGGTTAGGTATGTTTTCTAAGTTCCTTTTGGTGCAAAATTATGAATTTTTACATCAACATTAATGAAAAATATATATCTTTAAACGTATAAGAGAAAATTTTAGAAAGGACTTAATTTTAAATGAGTTCTTGCTAATTGACCAGTTTTGCATATTCGGCACGACATATATATATATATATATATATTATATATATATATATATATATATAATATATAATATATATATATATATATATATATATATATATATATATATATATATATTATATATACATACATATATATATATATATATATATATATATATATATATATATATATATACATACATATATATATATATATATATATATTATATATATATTATATATATATATATATATATATATATATATATATATATATATATATATATATATATATATATGAAGCAGTGAAGAGTTTTTACGAGGATAGTGAGGCTCAAGTTAGAGTTATGTAGGAAAGAGGAAATTATTTCCCAGTAAAAGTATGCCTTAGACAAGGATGTGTGATGTCAACGTGGTTGTTTAATATATTTATAGATGGTGATTGTAAGAGAAGTAAATGCGAGGGTCTTGGCAAGAGGCGTGGAGTTAAAAGATAAAAGAATCTCACATAAAGTGGGAGTTGTCACAGTTGCTCTTTGCTGATGACACTGTGCTCTTGGGAGATTCTGTAGAGAAGTTTGCAGAGGTTGGTGGACGAATTTGGTAGGGTGTGCAAAAGAAGAAAATTAAAAGTGAATACAGAAAGAGTAAGGTTATGAGGATAACAAAAAGATTAGGTGATGAAAGATTGGATATCAGATTGGAGGGAGAGAGTATGGAGGAGGTGAATGTATTCAGATATTTGGGAGTGGACGTGTCAGCGGATGGGTCTATGAAAGATGAGGTGAATCATAGAACTGATGAGGGGAAAAGGGTGAGTGGTGCACTTAGGAGTCTGTGGAGACAAAGAACTTTGCCCTTGGAGGCAAAGAGGGGAATGTATGAGAGTATAGTTTTACCAACGCTCTAATATGGGTGTGAAGCATGGGTGATGAATGTTGCAGCGAGGAGAAGGCTGGAGGAAGTGGAGATGTCATGTCTGAGGGCAATGTGTGGTGTGAATATAATGCAGAGAATTCGTAGTTTGGAAGTTAGGAGGAGGTGCGGGATTACCAAAACTGTTGTCCAGAGGGCTGAGGAAGGGTTGTTGAGGGGGTTTGGACATGTAGAGAGAATGAAGCGAAAAAGGGTGACTTCAAGAGTGCATCAGTCTGTAGTGGAAGAAAGGCGAGGTAGGGGTCGGCCTAGGAAAGGTTGGACGGAGGGGGTAAAGGAGGTTTTGTGTGCGAGGGGCTTGGACTTCAAGCAGGCATGCATGAGCGTGTTTCATAGGAGTGAATGGAGACAAATGGTTTTTAATACTTGACGTGCTGTTGGAGTGTGAGCAAAGTAACATTTATGAAGGGGTTCAGGGAAACCGGCAGGCCGGACTTGAGTCCTGGAGATGGGAAGTACAGTGCCTGCACTCTGAAGGAGGGGTGTTAATGTTGCAGTTTAAAAACTGTAGTGTAAAGCACCCTTCTGGCAAGACAGTGATGGAGTGCATGATGGTGAAAGTTTTTCTTTTTCGGGCCACCCTGCCTTGGTGGACCACCCTGCCATGGTGGACCACCCTGCCTTGGTGGACCACCCTGCCTTGGTGGACCACCCTGCCATGGTGGACCACCCTGCCTTGGTGGATCACCCTGCCTTGGTGGACCACCCTGCCTTGGTGGACCACCCTGCCTTGGTGGACCACCCTGCCTTGGTGGACCACCCTGCCTTGGTGGGAAACGGCCAGTGTGATAATATATATATATATATATATATATATTATATATATATATATATATATATATATATATATATATATATATATATATATATATATATATATATATATATATATAATATATATATATATATTTATATATATATGTGTACGTATATATATGTTAAGTATGTAATTAGCCTGTGTTGGTACAGGTGTGGTACAGGTGTGGTACGGGTGTGGTACAGGTGTGGTACAAGTGTGGTACAGGTGTGGTACAGGTGTGGTACGGGTGTGGTAAAAGTGTGGTACAGGTGAGGTACGGGTGTGGTACAAGTGTGGTACAAGTGTGGTTCAGGTGTGGTACGGGTGTGGTACAGGTGTGGTACAAGTGTGGTACAGCTGTGGTATGGGTGTGGTACAGATGTTGCACATGTGTGGTAAAGGTGTGGTACAAGTGTGGTACAGGTGTGGTACAGGTGTGGTACGGGTGTGGTTCAAGTGTGGTACAGGTGTGGTACAAGTGTGGTATAAGTGTGGTACGGGTGTGGTACAGGTGTGGTACAAGTGTGGTACAGCTGTGGTACGGGTGTGGTACAGGTGTGGTACAAGTGTTGTACAGCTGTGGTATGGGTGTGGTACAGATGTTGTACAAGTGTGGTACAGGTGTGGTTCAAGTGTGGTACAGGTGTGGTACAAGTGTGGTATAAGTGTGGTACGGGTGTGGTACAGGTGTGGTACAAGTGTGGTACAGCTGTGGTACAAGTGTGGTACAGGTGTGGTACAAGTGTGGTACAGGTGTGGTACAAGTGTGGTATAGGTGTGGTACAAGTGTGGTACAGGTGTGGTACAAGTGTGGTACAGGTGTGGTACAAGTTTGGTACAGGTGTGGTACAAGTGTGGTACAGGTGTGGTACAAGTGTAGTGCAGGTGTGGTACAAGTGTGGTACAGGTGTGGTACAAGTGTGGTACAGGTGTGGTACAAGTGTGGTATAGGTGTGGTACAAGTGTGGTACAGGTGTGGTACAAGTGTGGTACAGGTGTGGTACAAGTGTGGTACAGGTGTGGTACAAGTGTGGTACAGGTGTGGTACATGTGTGGTACAGGTGTGGTACAGGTGTAGTGCAGGTGTGGTACAAGTGTGGTACAGGTGTGGTACAAGTGTGGTACAGGTGTGTTATGGGTGTGGTACAGGTGTGGTACAAGTGTGGCACTGGTGTGGTACAAGTGTGGTACAGGTGTGGTACAAGTGTGGTACAGGTGTGGTACAAGTGTGGTACAGGTGTGGTACAGGTGTAGTGCAGGTGTGGTACAAGTGTGGTACAGCTGTGGTACAAGTGTGGTACAGGTGTGTTACGGGTGTGGTACAGGTGTGGTACAATTGTGGTACAGGTGTGGTACAAGTGTGGTACAGGTGTGGTACAAGTGTGGTACAGGTGTGGTACAAGTGTTGTGCAGGTGTGGTACAAGTGTCTTACAGGTGTGGTACAAGTGTGGTACAGGTGTGGTACAAGTGTTGTGCAGGTGTGGTACAAGTGTGGTACAGGTGTGGTACAAGTGTGGTACAGGTGTGGTACAAGTGTTGTGCAGGTGTGGTACAAGTGTGGTACAGGTGTGGTACAAGTGTGGTACAGGTGTGGTACAAGTGTTGTGCAGGTGTGGTACAAGTGTGGTACAGGTGTGGTACAAGTGTGGTACAGGTGTGGTACACTGCCTAATATTATATAACTTTCAGATGTGCCTTCGCTGGGTCAGCCTCATCGGGTGTTCAGTGTCAAGCATCTGTCTGGTTCTGACTATTTGCTGCCTCACAGTGGCTATCAGAGCGATCAAGGTATTACCACCGTGTGTGTGTACTCACCTAGTTATACTCACCACCTAGTTGAGGTTGCAGGGGTCGATTCCAAGTTCCTGGCCCCGCCTCTTCTCTGGTCACTACTAGGTCACTCTCCCTGAACCGTGAGCTTTATCATACCTCTGCTTAACGCTATGTATGGATCCTGCCTCCACTACATCGCTTCTCAAAAAATTCCACTTCCTGGCTGTGTGTGTGTGTACTCACCTAATTGTGCTCACCTAATTGTGGTTGCAGGGGTCGAGAATCAGCTCCTGGCCCCGCCTCTTCACCGACCGCTACTAGGTCCTCTCTCCCCCTACTCCATGAGGTTTATCATACCTCGTCTTAAAACTATGTATAGTTCCTGCCTCCACTACATCGCTTGCCAGGCTATTCCACTTCCTAACTACTCTATGGCTGAAGAAATACTTCCAAACATCCCTTTGACTCATCTGAGTCTTCAGCTTCCAATTGTGACCCCTTGTTTCTGTGTCCCATCTCTGGAACATCCTGTCTCCGTCCACCTTGTCTATTCCATGCAGTATTTTGTATGTCTTTATCAAGTCTCCCCTGACCCTCCTGTCCTCCAGTGTTGTCAGACCGATTTCCCTTAACCTTTCTTCATAGGACATTCCCCTCTGGAACTAGCTTTGTTGCAAACCTTTGCACTTTCTCTAATTTCTTGACGTTTTTGACCAGGTGTGGGTTCCAAATTGGTGCTGCGTACTCCAGTATGGGCCTGACGTACACAGTGTATATAGTCTTGAACGATTCCTTACTGAGGTACCGGAACGCTATTCTCAGGTTTTCCAAGCGCCCATAAGCCGCAGCAGTAATCTGGTTAATGTGTGCTTCTGGCGATGTACTCGGTATTATACTCACTCCTAGGTCTTTCTCCTTGAGTGAGGTTTGCAGCCTTTGACCACCTAGTCTATACTCTGTCTGCGGTCTTCTTTGCCCTAATCTGATCTTCATGACTTTGCATTTGGCGGGTTTAAATTCTAGGATCCAGTTTCTGGACCACACATCCAGCCTGTCCAGGTCTCTTTGTAGACCTGTCTGATTTAATTCTCCTCATTAACTTCACTTCATCTGCAAACAGGGACACTTCTGAGTCTATCCCTTCCGTCATGTCGTTCACATATACCAAGAATAGCACTGGTCCCAGGACTGACCCCTGTGGAACCCTTCTCGTCACCGGCACCCACTGTGATACCTCATCACGGACCATGACTCGCTGTTGCCTCCCTGTTAGGGATTCTCTGATCCATTACAGTTTCCTTCCTGTTATACGTGCCTGTTCCTCTAGCTTCTGTACTAATCTCTTGTGAGGAACTGTGTCGAAGGCCTTCTTGCAGTCCAAGAAAATGCAATCAACCCACCCCTACCTCTCATTTCTTACTTCAGTTACCTTGTCATAAAACTCTAGTAGGTTTGTGACACAGGATTTGCCTTCCATTAATCCGTGCTGGCTGTCGTTTATAATCTTGTTCCACTCCAGGTGCTCCACCACTCTCCTCCTGATAATCTTTTCCGAGACTTTGCATATTATACATGTCAATGACACTGGTCTATAATTTAGTACTTCATTTCTGTCTCCCTTCTTAAAGATGCCTTCTTCCATACTAGGACAAATTGTCCTAGTTCTCAGATATTTTAAATTGGGGGAGAAAGGGGGATGTGATGTAGTCCAGCTGGGCTTGTGAGGTCTCTGGGGAGACCTAATTTAACCAATTATATGGTCACACCTTGCCTTGGCAAATGTCTGTAGCCACGCCCACGTCTGAGGTCTTTTGTTCTTGACGGCGTCAGACCTAGGCGTCAGGTCGTACACGTGGTTGTGGGGTGTGCTTGGACCACCATATAAACCCAAGGAACAGCTGAGCAGAGCAGATTTGGGCAGAGCTCTGGCCTGGGAGCAGAGCTGAGCTGGAGAATCTCGGGAGGAGAGACTGTTGGAGACATTGGGCAGAGTACTGGCTTGGAGCAGTGCTCGTGCTGTGTAGGTCTTGGGACCTGTGGCTTAGTTCCTGTAGTGAACTGTCCTCTGTACTATATTGTAAGTTATATTCATTTTCGTCAAGTTGATTGTGTTCCCTGTCTCACCGCTTATATGTACCATCCCATTTGTTCCCAAATATATTATTGTACAAAGACTTAATAATAAACTGTGTTTGAGTATAATAGTAATATTCACTGTCCCTGTTATTTATTCATTAGTTTATTTCAGTTAAAGTAGTGAGAGGGTGAGTAGTGTAGGATGGTGGGTAGAGTAATGAGAGGTGAAGTTGTAGTCACCAGTGACCTCACATTACCTACCGACGTCCGCACTCATCCCTCCTACTGCCTCGCCTGTCCCATACCTACTGACTCCCTCCTCTTACCCCCATATTCCCCTAATCATTAACCCCTACATGACACATGCAGTGTCACCAACACCTGACACACCATTACCACAATATACCTATATTAGCGTTGAGTTCAAATGTAATTTTTTTCATTTCATTTTTCATTTTTCTTTCAATTAGGATACCCATTCATGTTTTATTGTTTTACATTTTCCGTTTCTAAATAATAAAGTGTTTATCATTGTCTGTTATTATTTCTTTTTCTATTCATTAATTTTCCTGAGGAGGAGCCAGCCTTGGTAATACTGACTGAAGTTGTTACAGGGCTGAGTAAGCCTTCACAAGCTCACTCAGAAGCCTCTTCACTTCTTCCTCGGTTGTGTGTACTGTATCCAGTACTTGTTGGTGTGCCCCACCTCTCCGTCTTTCTGGAGCCCCTTCTGTCTCTGTGAACACTTCTTTGAAACTCTTGTTGAGTTCCTCACATACTTCACGATCATTTTTTGTTGTCTCTCCTCCTTCCTTTCTTAGCCTGATTACCTGGTCCTTGACTGTTGTTTTCCTCCTGATGTGGCTGTATAACAGCTTCGGGTCAGATTTGGCTTTCGCTGCTATGTCGTTTTCATATTATCATTGGGCCTCCCTTCTTATCTGTGCATATTCGTTTCTGGCTCTACGACTGCTCTCCTTATTCTCCTGGGTCCTTTGCCTTCTATATTTCTTCCATTCCCTAGCACACTTGGTTTTTGCCTCCCTGCGCCTTTGGGTGAACCATGGACTCATCCTGGCTTTTTCATTAATCCTGTTACCCTTGGGTACAAACCTCTCCTCAGCCTCCTTGCACATTGTTGCTACATATTCCATCATCTCATTAACTGGCTTCCCTGCCAGTTCTCTGTCCCGTTGAGCCCCGTTCAGTGTGTGTGTGAGTGTGTTTGTTTGTTTGTTTGTGTGTACTCACCTAATTGTGGTTGCAGGGGTCGAGACTCAGCTCCTGGCCCCACCTCTTCACTGATCGCTACTGGATCCTCTCTCTCTCTGCTTCCTGAGTTTTGTCATACCTCTTCTTAAAACTATGTATGGTTCCTGCCTCCACTACTTCACTTGCTAGGCTATTCCACTTGCTGACAACTCTATGACTGAAGAAATACTTCCTAACGTCCCTGTGACTCGTCTGAGTCTTCAGCTTCTGAAATATAAAAATAATGCAGAGTCACATTCTCACAGAGGAGCCGAGGACAGCTCTTGAAGAAGGTTCACCTGCACCTGTGTGTGTGTCTGGTATCGTCGGAGGTGGTGTTGATGCTGGGACTGGAGGCCACTGACGATAACATTGTCTGCAAGATGATCGCTGCTCTCCTACACTACTTCTTTCTGGCTACCTTCATGTGGAGCTTCATCGAGGCTTTCAAACCATACCTCATGCTTAGCAAGGTATGTACTTATTAATCCCACTTATATAATACAAGAAGAAATCTTCAAACTAAAAGAGAGAAAGGTTTACTTAAATGATGTACGACTTTATTAGCAAACATTTGAGTCTGATCTTACATAAATATAAAAACTGCTGTGTGAAGGAGCATTTAGCAATTACCATGAAGGTACATCCCAAATGAATACTTATCTATACTATTCTCTAATCAAACAATAAATCTGATTTCAAAACAATTACAGGGGGGGGGAGTTCAGTGATAGCTGTGGGCCTTTCATGTTGCAGTCAACACATCATCAGGAACTTGCAAAGTTGCAGAGATGAGTAGGAAGTCCATGCAGATTAGTTCAGAGGAACGTTGTAACTGGATGAGGTGAGGAGGTATGTGTCCTACCTCATCACCTCACTGCGGTTATAACGTTCCTCTGAACTAATCTGCTTGGAGTTCTTACTCATTTCTGCAACACTGCAAGCTCCTGATGATGTACTGACTGTAACACGAGAGGCCTAGAACTATTATTCAACTTCCCCTGTGGTTGTTTTGCATCTTATGTTGCTTGTTCGCTATTATTGTAATATGAATACTTATTGTTCTGTAGTCGTAAGTTAATGGGATTTACAATTTAACTTGAAGAATTAATCACAAAGTCTCCAGGGTCATACAAGACTCAAGTTTGAAACTTAATATATCAGTCCAAGGTCTGTGTAATATTAGTGCCGCAAGAAGTGTCAAATTTAATATCAGTGGTAGATTAGATTAGATTTTGCCACCGAAGTGGCTAGTTTATTGTGCACCCCATATCCATCCTGTGGACGGTAGCGCCAGAGCATGTGGATACACAAAAGGCCTAGGAACTAGGCCCCAAAGGGTTAACAGGAATACATATGGATTTATATCTACATATCTATAGTTCACTTATCTGTTACAAGCAAATTTAGGAAATTTGCTTAGTATATCTGGTATCTTATTTTCATTAATAAGATATCTTGACATGTCACATAGGTTATTATACTGTCTGTCTCTGTATTCCTCAATAAGTGGACAATTAAGCACATAGTGTTAGGTGGTAGGTAGCTTAACATCCCAACATCTCTGTCTCATACTAATACCAACACTTTACATTTACATAAGAACATAAGAAAGAAGGAACACTGCAGCAGGCCTACTGGCCCATGCGAGGCAGGTTCAAGTCTCCTACCGGCTTAAGCCAATGCCCCAACCTAGTTAGGTCAGGTCACATTCACTTAAGGAAGGAACACGCAACTGACCTAGTAGCACAAGCTAGTCAGGTCCAACTCACACCCACCCACACCCACTCATGTGTTTATCTAACCTATTTTTAAAACTACACAACGTGTAACTGTACTCGGGAGTTTGTTCCACTCATTCACAACTCTATTACCAAACCAGTACTATATCCTTCCTGAATCTGAATTTTTTCAACTTAAAACCACTGCCGCGAGTCCTGTATATGCTAGATATTTTCAGCACGTTATTTGCATCCCCTTCTTTATTCCTGTTTTCCATTTATACACCTCAATCATATCCCCCCTAATTCTACGCCTTTCGAGAGAGTGCAGATTCAGGGCTTCAGTCTATCCTCATAGGGAAGATTTCTGATACATGGGATCATCTTTGTCATCCTCCATTGTACGTTTTCCAGAGCATTTATATCCATTCTGTAATACAGTGACCAGAACTGAGCAGCATAGTCTAAATGAGGCCTAACAAAGGATATATAGAGTTGAAGAACAACCTGAGGACTTCTATTATTTATACTTCTAGATATGAAGCCAAGAATTCTGTTAGCTTTATTACGAACACTAATGCGCTGTTGTCTTGGTTTCAGATTACTACTAACCTGAACTCCTAAATCTTTTTCGTAATCCGTAATATTAAGATCTACATTATTTAGTTTATATGTGGCATGGTTATTTTCCTGTCCAACATTTAGAATTTTACATTTGTCAATATTAAACTGCATCTGCCACCTCTCCGACCACTGCATCAGTCTATTCAAATCTTCCTGGAGTGCTCTAATGTCCTCGTCAGAATTAATTCGACGGCCTATTTTGGTGTCATCGGCAAACTTGCTGATGTCGCTCTATATGCCCTCATAGGGCACTTCATCTGTCCTAGCAGCACTTGACCTGCCCTAGCAGCACTTGGCCTGCCCTAGCAGCACTTGACCTGTCCTAGCACCACTTGACCTGCCCTAGCAGCACTTGACCTACCCTAGCAGCACTTCACCACCCCTAGCAGCACTTAATCTGTCCTAGCAGCACTTGATCTGCAGTAGCAGCACTTGACCTGCTCTAGTAGTACTTGACCTGCCCTAGCAGCACTTGACCACCCCTAGCAGCACTTGACCTGTCCTAGCAGCACTTGACCTGCCCTAGCAGCACTTGACCTACCCTAGCAGCTCTTGACCACCCCTAGCAGCACTTAATCTGTCCTAGCAGCACTTGATCTGCAGTAGCAGCACTTGACCTGCCCTAGTTGTACTTGACCTGCCCTAGAAGCACTTGACCACCCCTAGCAGCACTTGACCTGTCCTAGCAGCATTTGACCAGCCCTAGCAGCACTTGACCACCCCTAGCAGCACTTGACCTGTCCTAGCAGCACTTGACCACCCCTAGCAGCACTCGACCTGCCCTAGCAGCACTTGACCACGCCTAGCAGCACTTGACCTGTCCTAGCAGCACTTGACCTGCCCTAGCAGCACTTGATCTACCCTAGCAGCACTTGATCTGTCCTAGCAGCACTTGACCTACCATAGCAGAACTTGACCTGCCCTAGCAGCACTTGATCTGCCCTAGCAGCAATTGACCTGCCCTAGCAGCACTTGACCACCCCAAGCAGCACTTGACATGTCCTAGCAGCACTTGACCTGCCCTAGTAGTAATTGACCTGCCCTAGAAGCACTTGACCACCCCTAGCAGCACTTGACCTGCCTAGCAGCACTTGACCAGCCCTAGCAGCACTTGACCACCCCTAGCAGCACTTGACCTGTTCTAGCAGCACTTGACCACCCCTAGCAGCACTCGACCTGCCCTAGCAGCACTTGACCACCCCTAGCAGCACTTGGCCTGTCCTAGCAGCACTTGACCTGCCCTAGCAGCACTTGATCTACCCTAGCAGCACTTGATCTGTCCTAGCAGCACTTGACCTACCCTAGCAGAAATTGACCTGCCCTAGCAGCACTTGACCTGTCCTAGCAGCACTTGACCAGCCCTAGCAGCACTTGACCACCCCTAGCAGCACTTGACCTGTTCTAGCAGCACTTGACCACCCCTAGCAGCACTCGACCTGCCCTAGCAGCACTTGACCACCCCTAGCAGCACTTGGCCTGTCCTAGCAGCACTTGACCTGCCCTAGCAGCACTTGATCTACCCTAGCAGCACTTGATCTGTCCTAGCAGCACTTGACCTACCCTAGCAGAACTTGACCTGCCCTAGCAGCACTTGATCTGCCCTAGCAGCAAATGACCTGCCCTAGCAGCACTTGACCACCCCAAGCAGCACTTGACCTGTCCTAGCAGCACTTGACCTGCCCTAGCAGCACTTGATCTGTCCTAGCAGCACTTGACCTACCCTAGCAGAACTTGACCTGCCCTAGCAGCACTTGATCTGCCCTAGCAGCAATTGACCTGCCCTAGCAGCACTTGACCTGCCCTAGCAGGTCTAGACCTGCCCTAGCAGCACTTGACCTGTCCTAGCAGCACTTGACCTGCCATAGCAGAACTTAACCTGCCCTAGCAGCACTTGACCTGTCCTAGCTGCACTTGACCTGCCATAGCAGAACTTAACCTGTCCTAGCAGAACTTGACCTGCTCTAGCAGCACTTGACCTGCATTAGCAGCAGTTGGCCTGCCCTAGCAGCACTTGACCTGTCCTATCAGCACTTGACCTGACCTAGCAGCACTTGATCTGTCCTAGCTGCACTTGACCACCTCTAGCAGCAATTGACCTGTCCTAGAAGCACTTGACCCGCCCTAGCAGCACTTGACCTACCCTAGCAGCACTTGACCACCCATAGCAGCACTTGACCAGTCCTAGCAGCACTTGACCTTCCCTAGCAGCACTTGACCTGCCCTAGTAGTACTTGACCTGCTCTAGCAGCACTTGACCACCCCTAGCAGCACTTGACCTATCCTAGCAGCACTTGACCAGCCCTAGCAGCACTTGACCTGCCCTAGCAGCACTTGACCACCCTTAGCAGCACTTGACCTGTCCTAGCAGCACTTGACCTGCACTAGGAGCACTTGACCTACCATAGCAGCACTTGACTTGTCCTAGCAGCACTTGACCAGCCCTAGCAGCACTTGACCTTCCCTAGCAGCACTTGACCACCCTTAGCAGCACTTGACCTGTCCTAGCAGCACTTGACCTGCCCTAGCAGCACTTGACCTGCCCTAGCAGCACTTGACCTGTCCTACAGAACTTGATCTGTCCTAGCAGCACTTGACCTGCCCTAGCAGCACTTGACCTGCCCTAGCAACACTTAACCTGTCCTACCAGAACTTGACCTGCCCTAGCAGCACTTGACCTGCCTTAGTAGCACTTACCTGTCCTTGCAGCACTTGACCTGTCCTAGCAGCACTTGACCTGTCCTACCAGCACTTGACCTGTCCTACCAGCACTTGACCAGCCCTAGCAGCACTTGCCCACCCCTAGCAGCACTTGACCACCCTTAGCAGCACTTGACCTGTCCTAGCAGCACTTGACCTGCCCTAGCAGCACTTTACCTACCATAGCAGCACTTGACCTGTCCTAGCAGCACTTGACCTGCCCTAGCAGCACTTGACCTGTCCTAGCAGGACTTGACCTGTCCTAGCAGAACTTGACCTGTCCTAGCAGGACTTGACCTGCCCAAGCAGCACTTGACCTGTCCAAGCAGCATTGACCTAAGGTAGCAGCACTTGACCTGCCTAGCAGCACTTGACCTGTCCTAGCAGGACTTGACCTGTCCTAGCAGGACTTGACCTGCCCAAGCAGCACT